TTAATAATCCCCCCAAATTAATTATTTACCCTTAATTACCCCCCCAAAACCCCAAATTAATTAATCCCCCTTAATTAACCCCCCAATCTCCCCCAATTAATTAATTATCCTTAATTAACTGCCCAACTCCCCGCAAATCCCCTCAAATTAATTAATTCCCCTTAATTAACCCCCCCAAAACTCCCAAATTAATTAATTAACCTTAATAATCCCCCCAAATTAATTATTTACCCTTAATTACCCCCCCAAGCCCCCAAATTAATTTCCCTTAATTAACCCCCCAACCCCCCAAAATTCAACATTTACCCTTAATTAAGCCCCAAAATTAATTATTTAGCCCTAATTAACGCCCAAGTTAATTAATTTCCCTTAATTAACCTGCCCAAAACCCCCAAAATTCCCCCAACCCCCCCCAAATCCTCCTCAATTAATTAATTCCCCTTAATTAACCCCCCCAAATCAATTAATACCCCTTAATTAACCCCCCAAATTAATTCATTCCCCTTAATTAACCCCCCAAATTAATTAATTACCCCTTAATTAACCCCCCCAAACTCACCTTGAGCCGCCCCCAGGGTCAACCCCAGGGCGGGGGAGGGGCCGGGGTTCGGGGGGGCGGGGTTCGGGGCGGGGCTATTGGAGGCTCCTCCCCCTCCTCCTGCCGCCCCTCCCCCTCCTCCCGTGGCCCCTCCCCCTCCTCCGAGCTGGGTGGGGGAGGGGCCGGGGGGTGCCCCTCCCCCCACGGGGGTTCCCACGGGGGGTCCCAGGGGCGCCAGGAGGGTCACGTGGGTGTGGGCGGGGCCCAGCAGGTGCTGCCCCGCCCCCGCCGCCACCAGGTGAACCACGTTACCTGAAGGGGGGGAGGGGTCACGTCAGGCCACGCCCACTTTTGGGGGGAGGGGTGTTTTCCCCAAAAAAAACCCATTTTCAGGGTTTTTTTCTACCATTTTTGGGAATTCTCCTCCCAGTTTTGGGGTCCCCGCCCACTTTTTCGGGCCGCTCCCCCCAAATTTTGGGGGTCCCCACCCAATTTTTGAAATGCCCCAAATTTCCCCAAAATGAACCCCCAAAAATCCCCCCCCAAAAATCCCTAAAGATGCCCAAAAAATCTCTAAAAATCCCCCCCCAAAAAATCCCTAAAAGTCTCCAATAAAATCTCTAAAAAATCATTAAAAATCCCCAAAAAAATCCCCCCAAAAAACCATAAAAACATCCCCAAAAATCCGCCCAGAACATCCCTAAAAATCCCTAAAAAGGTCCCAAAAAATCCCCCCCAAAAAACTAAAAAAACCCTAAAAAACCCTAAAAAACTCCGCAAAAAATCCCTAAAAAAGCCCCAAAAAATGTCTCTCAAAAATCGTAAAAAATCCCCCTAGAAAATCCCTAAAAATCCCTAAAAAATCCCCAAAATAATCCCTAAAAATCCCCCTAAAAATCTCCCAAAACATCCCTAAAAATGCCCCAAAAAATCTCCTCCAAAAAACATAAAAGATTCCGAAAACTCCCCAAAAAAATCCCTAAAAAATCCCCCCCAAAAATCCCTAAAAATCCCCCCAAAAAATCCCTAAAACTCCCCAAAAAAATCCCTAAAAAATCCCCCAAAAATCCCTAAAAAATCCCTAAAAAATCCCCCCAAAAAACCTAAAAAAATCCCTAAAAAACCCTAAAAAAATCCCCCAAAAATCCCTAAAAATCCCCCCAAAAAATCCCCCAAAAAGCCCTAAAAAAATCCCCCCAAAATCCCTAAAAATTCTCAAAAAATACTCCCAACAAATCACCAAAAATCCCCCCCAAAAATCTCTAAAAATCCCAAAAAAATCCCAAAAAAATCCCTAAAAATCCCCCCAAAAATCCCTAAAATTTCCTAAAAATAATCCCAAAAATCCCCCCCAAAATCCCTAAAAAATCCCCAAAAATCCCTAAAAATCTCCCCAAAAAATCCCTTAAAATCCCTAAAAAATTTCTTAAAATATCTCTAAAAATCCCTCAAAAATCCCCTCAAAAAACTCCTCAAAAAATCCCTAAAAAAGCCCCCCAAAATTATAAAAAAATCCCTAAAAATCCCCTTAAAAATCCCTAAAAATCCCCCCAAAATCCCTAAAAATGCCCTTTAAAAATCCCCTAAAAATCCCCTTAAAAAAATCCCCAAAAATCCCCCTAAAATCCCCCTAAAAATCTCCAATAAAATCCCTAAAAATCCCCTTAAAAAATCCCTACAAATCCCCCAAAAAATCCTCCCTAAAAATCCAAAATATAATGCTTAAAAATCCCCTTAAAAAATCCTTTAAAATCCCCCCAAAATCCCTTAAAATCCCCCTAAAAAGCTCCCAAAATATCACTAAAAATCCCCCAAAAAATCCCTAAAAAAACCCCAAAAAAATCCCTAAAAAAATCCCCAAAAAATCCCCTTAAAAAATTCGAAAAAATCCTCAAAAAAGCCCTAAAAATCTCCTTTAAAAATTCCCCCAAAAAATCCTTTAAAATTCCCCAAAAAATTGCAAAAAATCCTCTAAAAAAATCCCTAAAATTCCCCCCAAAAAATCCCCAAAAATCTCTAAAAACACCCTTAAAAAATCCCTAAACAAAAAAGCCCTTAGAAAATCCCTAAAAAAACCCCCAAAAATTCCGCAAAAACCCCTAAAAAAGTCTCTAAAAAAATTCCCCAAAATCCCTAAAAATCATCTTAAAAAAATCCCAGAAAATCCCCCTAAAAAATCCCTCAAATTCCCTAAAAATCCCCCTAAAAATCCTCTTTAAAAATCCCCCAAAAATTCTAAAAATGCCCAAAAAATCCCTAAAAAATCCCTAAAAAATCCCCCCAAAAATCCTAAAAAAAATCCCCAAAAATCCCTTAGAAATCCCTAAAAAAACCCAAAAAAAACCCTAAAAAAATCCCCCCAAAATCCCCTTAAAAAATCCCCAAAAAATCCCTAAAAATCCCTAAAAATCACCCTAAAAAATCCCTAAAAATCCCAAAAAAATCTCCTTAAAAAAATCCCTAAAATTCCCCCAAAACCCCTCAAAAAAACCATAAAAAAATCCCCCAAAAATCCCTAAAAAATCCCTAAAAATTCCGAAAAATATCCCTAAAAATCCCCCAAAAATCCCCAAAAAATCCCCTTAAAAATCCCAAAAAATCCTCTTAAACATCCCCAATAAATCCCTAAAACTCCCCTTAAAAAATCCCCAAAAAAACCCTCAAAATTCCCAAAAAATCCCCTTGAAAAATCCCCCCAAAAAACCTAAAAATCCCCCAAAAAATCGGTAAAAATCCCCCAAAACCCCTTAAAAAAGTCCCTAAAATGCCTAAAAATATCCTTAAAAAAGCCCTAAAAATTCCATTAAAAATTTCCCTAAAAATCCCCCCAAATACCCTAAAAAAATTCCCCAAAAATCCCTAAAATCCCCTTAAAAAATCCCAGAAAATCCCCTTAAAAAAATTCCTAAAAATCCCTAAAAATCCTCTAAAAAACCCTAAAAAAATCATCAAAAAATCCCTAAAAAAAAATCCCAAAAAAGTCCCCAAAGAATCCCTAAAAATCCCTAAAAATCCCTCCAAAAATCCCTCCAAACATCCCCAAAAAAATCCCCAAAAAAATCCTTAAAAATCCCAAAAAATCCCCAAAAAATCCTTAAAAATCCCCCAA